CTGGGTGTTTGTGTTTCCCTGTGTGAGGTGGACACAAAGGAGCTTGTTGGGAAGGTGGTGAAATCCTGGTCCTCAATGCCCGAGGAGAGTTGCGGCTGCCGGCCAGCGAGGTGAAAGAAGGAGTTAATTGCTAGTGTTGACATGGAATGCAGGCTGTTGTATGAGGCTACAACTTAGTGGTGGGTCAGTGAGCAGACTGACAGGCGAGGAGCTGGAGACCCTCGGCTGCGCTCAGGACATTTGAGTTTCAGTGCTGTGATTCCAGGGAATACTGAATGAGACTTGCCAGGATATATCTGCTCATAATTCCCTAACTCCTGTGGGATACAGCTTGGTTTAAAATCGCTTGCTTATCAATTGCTTGGTGTGGGATATTTTGAGATCCAGCGAGGTGAGGAGGTATATTAGCTGGATATTACCGTTTCAGTCAGTGTTGGAGGAGAGCTGGATATTACCATTGGATTAGTGTTGGAAGGAAGTTGAATCCTGTTTCCCCCAGTGTAGGAAGTGAATGTGAGGTGGCTGAGTGGATCGACAGTTTGGATGTGTGTTATAGATGAGTCCAGAACTGACCCAAGTGTGTTCAGTCCCACCGGGAGAGGTCAAGGGTCAGTCCTGTAGCTCCACACTCTGCCAGGAGTAGATGCTGCTGATAATTACTTGGATCTACTAAAGTGCCAGGATAATCAGTGTTGAAGACAGGTGAGGAATTTTGCAGTGTCAATGTGCCAGTGTAAGTCATGGCTGGCTGCCTGCTTGACAAGGAGTGGATCTCATTTGCCTTGTTTGTTTTGTTTGGCTGACGTTTGACCTGTGTTACTTGCCAAGCTCCTTCCGAGTATTGCCCTGGGGTTGCATTACCAGCCTTGGTCCCCGAGTCGTGTTCTACCTGCCTCGGTCCCCAAGTTGTGTTCTACCTGCCTTGGTCCCCGAGTCATGTTCTACCTGCCTTGGTCCCCGAGTCATGTTCTACCTGCCTTGGTCCCCGAGTCGTGTTCTACCTGCCTCGGTCCCCAAGTTGTGTTCTACCTGCCTTGGTCCCCGAGTCATGTTCTACCTGCCTTGGTCCCCGAGTCATGTTCTACCTGCCTTGGTCCCCGAGTCATGTTCTACCTGCCTTGGTCCCCGAGTCATGTTCTACCTGCCTTGGTCCCCGAGTCATGTTCTACCTGACTTGTTCCCCGAGTTGTGTTCTACCTGCCTTGGTCCCCGAGTCATGTTCTACCTGCCTTGGTCCCTGAGTTGTGTTCTACCTGACTTGGTCCCCGAGTCATGTTCTACCTGCCTTGGTCCCTGAGTTGTGTTCTACCTGACTTGGTCCCCGAGTCATGTTCTACCTGAATTGGTCCCTTTGTTCTACTGTAATTAATTCTACTGTAACATCAGCTAGATTACTATTGATTCACTTCGTAGTCAAGAGTTTGGATTAAGTGTTATGGTCCTCCCAGAAACCGTGTGGTGAAAAGTAAGAGTTTATTGACGCCAACTTCTGTAATACGAGGGACCTTTTAGGTGAATGAAAACAAGGAAGTAGGTCATTCACTTGATGATGGAGTAACAATTTACACTTGTACTCTGAAACGTCATGTTCCTTATATTACTGAAGTTGACATCCATAAACCTTCACCTTTTATGTCAATCACTTCTATCGGCCATTCAAAGACTTTATAATGATGGCATTTATTTTGATACTTTCAGAAGAATATAAAACCCTTTTCAGTTTCTGTTGAAATTCCCGATTCCAAACTTATAAAATATGTGTTGTGATGTTAATGTGATATGTTTAGCATCAATGTGTTTAAGAAAATATTGATGCCAAATTTCCTTGCTACTTAAAAAGCCATAAAATAAAGTTCCATCAAATGGGTGTTTTGTCAAGCCCTGTTGCGATAATTTCATTACAGCACATCTGAATAATATTCTTTTGTATGGCCCATATGTGGAGGCTTGTTGTCCAGGAGCAGATGTTGCACACCTGGGGGTGGTCTGTCCTGCATCTGTTCCCCCTCCTCAAGGGGGGCTCTGCCCCTCCCCACTCGACTCATCCAGGAACCAGGAAATGGGGAGGAGGTTAAGGAAACATGCAGGATATGTAGTTACAGACCTGTTCTTAGTGGAGCTCTGACGTGGACCTGTATCACAGATGTAACCTGACATGGACCTGGGTCACAGATGTACCCTGACATGGACCTGGGTCACAGATGTACCTTGACATGGACCTGTGTCACAGATGTACCCTGACATGGACCTGTGTCACAGATGTACCCTGTCATGGACCTGTATCACAGATGTACCCTGTCATGGACCTGTGTAACAGATGTACCCTGACATGGACCTGTATCACAGATGTACCCTGACATGGACCTGTATCACAGATGTACCCTGACATGGACCTGTGTCACAGATGTACCCTGTCATGGACCTGTATCACTGATGTACCCTGACATGGACCTGTGTCACAGATGTACCCTGACATGGACCTGTATCACAGATGTACCCTGACATGGACCTGTGTCACAGATGTATGCACACCCTGTCATGGACCTGTGTGATGTACCCACATGGACCTGTCACAGATGGACCTGTGTCACATGTACCCTGTTATGGACCTGTGTCACAGATGTACCCTGTCATGGACCTGTGTCACAGATGTACCCTGACATGGACCTGTGTCACAGATGTACCCTGTCATGGACCTGTATGATGTACCCTGACAGATGTATGCCCTGTCATGGACCTGTGTCACAGATGTACCCTGTCATGGACCCTGTACCCTGAACATGGACCTGTGTCACAGATGTACCCTGTTATGGACCCATCACCTGTATCACAGATGTACCCTATGGACCTGTGTCACAGATGTCACAGATGTACCCTGTTATGGACCTGTGTCACAGATTGTCATGGATGTGTCACAGATGTACCCTGACATGGACCTGTATCACAGATGTACCCTGTCATGGACCTGTATCACAGATGTACCCTGTCATGGACCTGTATCACAGATGTACCCTGACATGGACCTGTATCACAGATGTACCCTGTCATGGACCTGTATCACAGATGTACCCTGACATGGACCTGTATCACAGATGTACCCTGACATGGACCTGTATCACAGATGTACCCTGTCATGGACCTGTATCACAGATGTACCCTGTCATGGACCTGTATCACAGATGTACCCTGTCATGGACCTGTATCACAGATGTACCCTGTCATGGACCTGTATCACAGATGTACCCTGACATGGACCTGTATCACAGATGTACCCTGTCATGGACCTGTATCACAGATGTACCCTGTCATGGACCTGTATCACAGATGTACCCTGACATGGACCTGTATCACAGATGTACCCTGTCATTGACCTTGTATCATGGACCTGTCATGGATCTGTACACAGATGTACCCTGTCATGGACCTGTATCACAGATGTATGACATGGACCTGTATCACATGGACCCTGTCATGGACCTGTATCACATATGTACCCTGTCATGGACCTGTGTCACAGATGTACCCTGTCTTGGACCTGTGTGACAGATGTACCCTGTCATGGACCTGTGTCACAGATGTACCTTGACGTGGATCACAGCGAGTGGTTTATCAATGCATTATTGTGTTCCGATGTGTGACCCATGATACATTGTTCTACAAACCCTGTGTCATGACCTCGATACTTTTACAAGTTATAGTGGTGTTAAATAAGTGGGAAATAACAGATTTAGCTTACACAGATTTTCTTCTTGCCTTCTTCTTTCTGCATTATGTAATCTTCAGTCCTTAAACTTTAAAACCAAATGATTCAGGGTTGTGGTTCAACACAGAGTTATACAACAGAGGTACTGTTTCCTATCATATGGCACCAGTGATACATGGATACGTATTGAATCATGACCCAACTACTTTGTAACGCCTCTAAAACACAGTAGTACTCAGTTCTCCTGAAGACATTGTGTAGTTTCACATTCCAGGGACAGAAGGTCCCACACTGTAGTATCACCACATACAGCCACTTACATTCGAACATGTACGCACTAAGTGTAGCTTAGACGCAAGCTTTGATTGACTTATGTAGAACAATGTGTGTTCAGCAGGGCCCATGGAGACTGAGATGTTTTATTCTAGGCAGGATATAATCAGCTTATACTCCAGACAACGCTGTAGCAGAGACTTCATGCTGTCGTGTATGCTGCGTACAGGATAACGGGGAATGATCGCTATATGAGCTGTGTTGCACATTGTACTCTGTGTGCTGTTTAGCATGGAGGGTGGGTATCGGTGTGCTGCGAGGCCATGCTAAAACAGTGACTGCTGAGATCTGCTTGTTTACACTCTCTTCTGTCACTCAGCGAGATAATCAGTCTACCTGCTGTCAGACAGCGCATGTTATACCCCAGCATATAAATCACTATCAAGAATCATAATGTGCATCTGAAATCAGCCAACCTTTGGCCAGTCTGTGACAGTGGCATGGTTTGTCTATTTCACAAGAGCTGCATCATCAGTAACAGCAGTTGCCATCACATTCACAACATCACCAACAGCCACAGCTTGGTTTTATCTTGCTAAATCTCTCTACAGCTCATCAGTCATTAGGGGCCATAAACAACATCAAGTCTTGCTTCTAATCTATATATTTTCAGTTATGTACTAAATGGATTCAGAAAAGATTTGCATTATTGACAACATGGTAAACGTTTTTTGTTCCCGAACTTGATTCCATTGAATTGCCTTTACGGCTGGCCTACAAGACAGGCCTTCACGACTGGCCTAATGACAGGCCTGCACGACCAGCCTACACAACAGGCCTATACGACAGACCTACACAACTGGCCTACATGCCAGGCCTACAAAACATGCCCACACAACTGGCCTACACGCCAGGCCTGCACAACAGGCCTACACAACAGGCCTACATGACAAACCTACACAACTGGCCTACTCGACAGACCTACACAACATGCCTGCACAACTGGCCTACACAACAGGCCTACATGACAAACCTCCACAACTGGCCTACACGACAGACCTACACAACATGCCTGCACAACTGGCCTACACGACAGGCCTACACAACATACCTACACTACAGGCCTACACGACCAGCCGACGCAACATGCCTACACGATAGGTCTACATGACCAGCATACACAACCGGCCTACACGACTGGCCTCCATGATTTGTTTTCAGAACTGACCTACACAACTAGCCTTCATGGATTATCCATGCAGCTCCATAGCTTGTTAAACATTGTGGATAAAAAGATCGGGGTTGTAGCTGAGTGTTTGCTGGTCGGTTCAGTGTCCTGTCGTGGAGGAGAATAGAAGGGAGTAAGTATGCAGACCCTGACTGTGAGACCGACTCGCATAGAGTATGAGAGCACAATAAGCTGTAAGAAGTCATACAATTGGGCAGGCTATAACTGCGTTATGAAGCGGGTGTATTATGGGCGTGTCAACATGTTTCTCTGTTCATGTCACACGAGATATGTGACACTTGATGAGATATGTGACACCTGATGTGGTGAGTATACTAAGGTTAACAGCTAGAGGTGGAATATCAGTTCTTGACATTAACACAGGCTAATCTGGCTCTGTGTTGATGGTGGAGTGGAGGTGACAGGAGTAGAGCATTCACCATGTGGGAGGGAATTGATGAAATAATGGATGGTCTCCTCTTTGTAGATGTTCCAGAAGAATGCTGACGGTTTTTGATTTGTAATAAATAGATTTGGGTGTTGCCAAATCTTCACCAAGCATTCCTACCATGGTTAGTGATAAGATTTGTCTTGAAATATTTTGAAAAGATTGAAAGTATGTTTGAATAATTATAGCCTGTCTGTCAGCACAAGAACACAAGTAATTTGTAAATGGCTGTCAGTGTGTTCCAGGGTCAGACTGGTGGGGTTAGAAACATGGCAGCTTATTTATCACCTAGAGATCCTGGGTACAGACTGACATTTCTTGTTGGAGATACAGGTTTTGTTTGTGGGTCAGATGTATATCAGTTAAATGTTGTCTTATGGCAGAGGTGAGACCAGAGTAAAGTTGTCTCATGGCAGAGGGGACATCAGGGAAATATTGTCTCATGGCAGAGGTGAGATCATCGAAATATTGTCTCATGGCAGAGGTGAGATCATCGAAATGTTGTCTCATGGCAGAGGTGAGATCATCGAAATGTTGTCTCATGGCAGAGGTGAGATCATCGAAATGTTGTCTCATGGCAGAGGTGAGATCATCGAAATGTTGTCTCATGGCAGAGGTGAGATCATCGAAATGTTGTCTCATGGCAGAGGTGAGATCAGTGAAATATTGACTCATGGCAGAGATGAGATCGTCGAAATATTGTCTCATGGCAGAGGTGAGATCGTCGAAATGTTGTCTCATGGCCAGGGTCAGATCAGTGAAATGTTGTCTTATGGCAGAGGTGAGATAAGTGAAATGTTGTTTCATGGCAGAGGTGAAACTGATGTTTCTAGTTTGTGATACAGGTTTTGTTTGTGGGTCAGATGTGGAAATGTCTCATGGCCAGGGTCAGATCAAGGAAATGTTGTTTCATGGCCAGGGTCAGATCAAGGAAATGTTGTTTCATGGCCAGGGTCAGATCAAGGAAATTTTGTCTCATGGCCAGGGTCAGATCAAGGAAATGTTGTCTCATGGCCAGGGCAGAAGCCTACAAAGCAGGGAGAAAAGAGGTGTGTTGGATTTTTCAATACAGGATTCAATGCAGCAAGGTCTGTTGGTGATCTGTTCAGGATCTGTCCCTCATGGCAATGCCAAATCAGCCAGGTAGTGATTATGTGTGTACATGGACCACAAGCTTTCATTAACTGTTTACAGCACTTGGGTGAATGTTATCGAGCTCTTTTGTGTCCCATGCTTAATCCATATTGGGGATCGTATCGGTCCAATGAATCCGACTCCTAGCATGAGAGGCCAGAAATTGACTAGCCTTCACAATCTCTTTGATCTTGCGGAATGCGATTACACGAATAGTTTTTTTCCTTTTTACCCCATTGGTACATGTTACAGATTCCCTTCTTGTCAACAGTTCAAACGTTTTGTTCATGAATTGAAAATAAATTTTAATCATTTGGAATATGGACTTTTCAAAAATCTTTGAGCTAAAAACTGATTTGTTGGAATGGAACTCCGGCTCACTAGCTTGGAGCTATTTCCCAAATAAAGACGTCATTCCTTTAAGATATCCATGGAGTCAACTTTGTGTGCAGACTCTTTCAGTGTTGTCACAACCCCTAGTGTACAGTACACAACTCTGTGCACTTAAAAGAACCCACAAATCCAATGGTGTATGACCAGATGGGGGCCGCATGAATACGTGCAAACACCTAGTTGTGGGTACAGCAACGTGCAGTGAACTTGGACAAAGTACTGTGACTATGTGTCCCAGTCCACCCAGCTGTGAATGGGTACCTCGTAAGAATGGGAAAGCCGCAATAACTCGGTGCGCCTTGTGGCAGCAAGAGTTGTATGATCCCCAGGGAGTTGAGATTGATAATAGATGTGCTGTTGAGATTGACATCCAATGATCGAGGGAAAAAATACCAGCGCCTTGAGCATGCACTAATGCGTGGATATGTGCGCTATATAAATATTCAATAATATAAATTTTCAAAGCTCTCTTAGCGCTAAGATAGTCGTAAGTGCCATACATTAACATTAACTTAGAGTATCTTAGCTAAGATAAGTAGAGCTTCATTAACTTAAATCTAGGCCCTGGGCCATAACTGTGCTGTTTGGGGAGGGGTGATAACCTTCGTACTAGTTGGCAGTTGGGTGTTCAACAAGATCCACACACCTAGTTGTTAAGGCTTGTAGCTACATGTCGTCTTCCCCTCCTTGAAGCTACGCCAGGGTGATAGATCTTAATATACACAGGCATAGTGCCTGTTCAAGGGGCTATTTATCATACTTTCTGATATAAACATCCCAAGGTGTAAGGGTCAGTGAGATACTCGTCTAATCATGTACACTTGTACACACGGTCTTATCACTTACAGTTGTTGAAGTTTGACTAGGCTAGACAAATATGGCTGTCTGTGTGAGCTTCCTGCACAGTGACAGCTCACAGCCCTGTATTGCATGGCAAACATTATATATGTGATCTGCTGTTTGATCTACATGCCAATGATGTTATAATTATTCACGAGGGATACACACCCATGTGTGAACTTAGAGCTACGGTGGCGGGGCAAGTAGAACAACAGGCGATAAACACACAGGGCGGTGTGTTCACATGGAAAGTATATGCAGTGCAGATACCAAATGGATGCAATTGAGTAGCCACATGCTGACAGTTTTGCTACTTTTTTGTAACATTTTGGAGATTATACTGCTCAAATTAAATTAAGGAACATCCCTAATTGGAAGCCTATTTCAGCCCCCCCAGCCTTGGTTTGACTATTGCAGTGTATAAAATAGGTTTGAAATGTGGCCTGTCCAAGGACTGGCTGTCCAAAAAAGTGACCACTCTTGAACAAACACAGCCAGTCCCATAAACTAAAACAATAAAAAATCAACAAGTTAAGTTTATTTTTTCAAATATTTCCAAAGGACGGCCTTACATAATTAATTGACCGTCCTTCACAAAAATAGACCGTCAAGGATGGTGGGACAGGCTATATTTTGTATACTGACCACAGTCGTATGAAAATGCCGAGTGATCCATTCTTTTGTATATTATTGATATATTTGTGAACATTTAACAATAAATAAATTTAGGATGCATTACAAAAACGAATAACGAATCAAATTAATTTAGTCATTTTAAGAAAACATTTAAAGTATACTGTAAGCATGTGAGTATATTGTTTTATGATATAATTTTAGTTTTAGAAAAACAATTTGATAAATTACATAAAATGTATGTAAACTACAAGAATGTAATGGTTATTCCTGCTGGGTAATTTTGAAGATCAGTTTTGACATCGAGAGTTTGGAGTGTGTGTGTCGTTTTATATGAGCTGATTACAGAGCTGCGTGTGATATATATCAGGGTAGTCTATTGTAAAATACCTGAAAGAGGTATGCTTCTGTTGTGATATCTCTTCACTATAGGAGTTTTAGCAGGCTTTAATCTTTATTACACCCTTGTGACAAGTTTCAGTCAGATCTACATTATCTTACTGTTTGTCTGACCGTGTCAAAAGGCTGTATTTCAAAACCCCTTAACGGTTGTCCACGATCTGCTAGCCTCACCTCCAATCCTACTCATCTCGTGTTGGTGTAAATAACATCAACCGTAAAAAGTTTCGTCTAAACAAATCTATTTCTCCAAGACACATTTATTGTAGTTTATATTTAATTCTTCCATTTCTTCAACTGTTGTTCAGGGTTTAAGTAAATTCATTTTTCCATTGATTGATTGGCAGACATGCTTGTCGTGTTGACGCTAAGGTGACAAGAATGTGGATATAGCGTAGTCCTTTGTGTTGTAGATAACAATCAATATCGACCGTGATATATGGTCCGTTATTGCTCATTTCAACATCAATATAACTCCCCTTAAGGGAGTAGTCGTTGGCATTACTCATTATATTCTTTGTGCTGTTATATAAAGATTCTTTTATGAGTGGTAAACTATCCTGACCTCTGACCTCTGTATATTTCAAGTGGTAGATATCTGGATTATACCTCAACTGGTAGATTGTTTTCTGGTTCGTCAGTATATGGTCATGGTTTCTGCGCATTCCTGGATAAACTGACATGTAACAAAGGTCACACTCAACAATGGAATTGTACATAGATGTACAGCGTTTTATGTTTGTCTGACATGCTGCAACATGCCATTGTGTATCATGTAAAACTTTGTGTGATACACTCTATATACCATTGTGTATCATGTAAAACTTTGTGTGATACACTCTATATAACATTGTGTATCATGTAAAACTTTGCGTGATACACTCTATATAACATTGTGTATCATGTAAAACTGTTATACACTCTATATACCATTGTGTATCATGTAAAGCTTTGCATGATACTCTATATACCATTGTGTATCATGTAAAACTTTGTGATACTCTATATACCATTGTGTATCATGTAAAATATTGTGTGATACACTACATACCATTGTGTATCATGTAAAACTTTGTGTGAGACACTCTATATACCATTGTGTATCATGTAAAACTTTGTGTGAGACACTCTATATACCATTGTGTATCATGTAAAACTTTGTGTGATACTCTATATACCATTGTGTATCATGTAAAACTTTGTGTGATACACTCTATATACCATTGTGTATCATGTAAAACTTTGTGATACACTCCATTATACCATTGTGTATCATGTAAAACTTTGTGTGATACCCTCTATATAACAGTGTGTATCATGTTAAACTTTGTGTGATACACTATATACCATTGTGTATCATGTAAAACTTTGTGTGATGCGCTCTATATACCATTGTGTATCATGTAAAACTTTGTGTGATACATTCTATATACCATTGTGTATCATGTAAAATTTTGTGTGATACACTCTATACACCATTGTGTATCATGTAAAACTTTGTGTGATACGCTCTATATAACATTGTGTATCATGTACAACTTTGTGTGATACTCTAGATACCATTGTGTATCATGTAAAACTTTGTGTGATACACTCTATATACAATTGTGTATCACGTAAAACTTGTGTGATACACTTTGTATACCATTGTGTATCATGTAAAACTTTGTGTGATACGCTCTATATAACATTATGTATCACATAAACCTTGTGTTATGCACCAGTGTGTTAAACCTTGTGGAGAAATCCAACCTGATTGCATGTATCCAGGTTTTTACGGCTGTGTGACACATAAACTATTTCCTATCATATACGATGATTGATTGATAACCTGCGTGGAGGACTGGAGAAGGTTGCACATAGCACAGTCACTCAACCTGCTGAAGAAGTCTATCTCCTGCATTTTATAATCAATACTATTGTAGAATGTTGGTGATCTCAAACATGCCATAAAAAATAGTTCATGTTTCATAGATGACTTCTTGTTCGATAACCATCTGTAAACTGATCTGAAAGGCTGTTCACTGCCGGGACATCAAGGCTGTTGATGTTGCGCTCTACATGGCGGCTGCAGCGGTGAATACGTGCATTTATGAACGAGTGGCGAGAATGTAGCCAAGTTCATACAGGTACTGAGTTCCATGTGCGGCACATTCCCCGCGGAACAGTGGTGGTCATGGATATGAGCTGCACGGTCTCCCAGCTAAAGGTGAACACAAGACTAAGTGGCAGCTGGAAGCGAGGAGTTGAGATTTGTGATCGGGGTCAATAGTAAGTCGACTGGGGGAGAATGCCGACTGTGGGTTGAATGCCGGCTGAGTTAGCCAAGTGTATAAATACACAACAAAGACATCGCTCTCTCGATTAATAAGGTGGCAGGGACCGGGACAATGTCAACTAATGTTGTGTGGATGTAATTTGTATGATAGGTAACAAGCTGCCTTTAGCTTGACAGCAGGATACAGGGGAGGGCATGGCGAGACACAAATCAATACCCTGTGATACTTGACACATAATTGGTGTATCCACAGGTGGGTGATATGCGACAATATCATCTGTTGACCTATTGGATAATGACTCTGAATACTGCTTAATGTTTCCTAATGAAATTTTTTTGTTGTTGATGGATAAACCTTAAATTTAAGACAAGCAGGAATGAAAGGTTGGAATTAATCCTTGTAAAATTTCTCGCAGAAATCGATATTTTTTTGTTATTTCCTTCTGAGTGATTCCTTCAGGGAATATGTGGAAATAATGAGACTATGATGTGTGTAGATTGTTTGTGGCAAAGATGGTGTATGGTTGTAGGAAAATGGCATACAACTCCCTTCTTTACGAGGTAATCAACCTGTTCATGCTGCCACGTCTTCTAACACGGCCTTTGTCAGTGAATTTATTACTTCTGTTCTGGTGAGTCAAGGTAGGTCCCAAATACCTCATTACTGCCAAGGAAAATGGGGATCCCAAAAAATGATTCTTATATCAAATGTTACTGTTAGCGTGTTAAATATTTGATCAGTTTTGTTTCAGCCCCAATTTAATGCTTCCGATGAAAACCCAGGTTCCATCGAGAAGATTGGTGTTTGATGCCTCTACACCTGCAAGGGTGTCTTGAACAAAATACAAACAGCATACTGAAACAATTTGAATCACCTGCTTTGTACTAGCGGTGTTCCAATTAATTGAAATAATCGAAGATTGGTCGCAGTGACCAAATGACCAAGCAATCGATCACATTTTCTCATAATCGAACACAAATGATTTTGGAACTTCTGTTTTAGTGTTTGAAATACTTGGTGAAGGAACATATCTTAGAAGTTGTTAGGGCCTGAAAACATGTTTAATTCTTAGAAAACTCATTTCACTTACTGAA